TCCGGAGCCTTTCGAATCGATGTTCAGGTTGAACGCGCTGAAGCTTCACGCCGGAGTACGGAAGCTGAAATGGAGGGGACTTGACGATGGCAAGATGAAGGGGGGTGGGTTTGCTGGCTCAGACGAGGAGAAGAGACTGGCCAGTGATCAGCAAGTGGCTTACCGCAAATACCACGTAATTCTGTTGCTCCTGTATCTTTCTCTTTGACCGCCATTCTGCAGAGAGCCATTCCATTAAGTGAACCCGACGACGTGCCTTTTTTGGATGATGGAGAGGGTTCATGACATGTTCATTACTTGCTGAAAGCCCACTGACAGTCGGAGACCACATAACATATTCTTCAAGTCTTCCAAAAAACTTGAATGGGCTGAGCTGGAGGCCGTGAAGGATCATGTTCTTCGATCGACATTTGATGACTCGTTCTTGCGGCTTGTTTTTGACTGGTGGTCAACAGCTTGACATGAGACCTCTTTAGCATCCGTTTTCCATGCTCACAGGACAACATCATGCTTGGCAAAAATTGGAGACTGGCTCACCACAAGTTTCTCCTAGTTGCTCACATCACATCACATCACATCGCCCAGTCTTGGCTCAGAGTCTACGCAGTCAGGGAAAGCTGGTAGCGTAGACCGGACCGGTGGCCGATCAGGCAGAAAATGGAGTGCGCCAAAGAACCCCCGACCGAGCTCGCTCCCCGCGGGGCCCCGCTGTGTGACCGAGCTCCTGTTCGCTTCAAAACAGGGGTGGCCATCGACTGGAGCTTGACACCTCTCTTTGAGTGGTCGTCCTGAGTTGTTTCAAGCACGGACGAACACATGGAAGTGGATGCCATAGGATACTGGAAGACCATTTTGCTCTACGAACAGGAGGTGTTGCATGTTAGTGAGTGGCCGTCTATTCAAAGCACAGACTTTCGGTGATCGCCTTGAAACTCCATTTGTGAAGCCTCGACGAAGCCGGATCCCCTGTTTTCCATTTCTCGCGAAAAGACCAAAGATGGCAGGCGAGATTCATGGGCTGCTTGCAGAGCTCTGGGGAAGTCGTTAAGACTCGTTCATCCGACATGCCCTCAGGCGCAAACGCGTGCGTTTCTGCGTGCGCGGGCGCAAACGCAGAGCTCGACGAAAACGATCGTCCTACCTCTTGGAGCTCCTTTTGAATTGGCAAACATCAATAACACTAGTCTAGTGTGGACGTGGCGGCGAAAGAACGCCGCCTTCCTAGCTGCACGAAAAGCTGCTTTTCGGGTTGTGGCAGGCCAAAGAACATCAAAGAACTATATACTGTATAAGACTGTATATATATATATATATATGTGTGTTGTCCCTGGTCTTTCCGTATGCAAAGACATGCCAAAGACCATCACCCAGTAGATCTCATGTGTGATATCATGTGAGCCATACCATATCCATACCACACCCGATGCTTCTCCAGACCTGGACCTTTCCTCTTCACAGCACCGCTTTTTCAGGAGGTGAGCCTGCAAAGTACGGCGGCCGCGATGCCGACCCCGAGAAGCCCATCGTCATGGGCAAGTGACCGTCCGAGCGGGCCGGAATCATCGGAAGGGGCATCGCATGGCATGCCATGGTCATCCAATCAACTTCAATCAACCAATTTGTTTCGAACTAGGTTGTTGTGAAGATCGAAGAAATTCCTCTGATATGTTGTGGAGACCTGGGCAGCCCCAAAAAGGATCTTCGGAACGGGACTCAGGCAACGATTTTTCCTGCGACTTCAAGCTCATGAAGGCTCATAAATGTCTCAAGATACACGAGCCAACGCTGAGGGGCCAACGGTTGCCTCACTTTGATCCACTAGACAATCCCATGCCAATTTTGACCCAACCAGTGTACCCAAATCCGCAGGTTTGTAGAATTAAGAGTTTTTGGATGTCTTTTTAAGCTTCTCTATTGGGTTCAAGCCTTGTAAACGGCTCTCTCCACTCCAGCGATGAGAGACCACGTGGCGAGGTACCGCATGAGTATGGCCAAGGGTGATCTCTTGGGCGAGGGCTCCTCCTCCATTTGCCGCAAGGTGCGGGCTCCGCCCCTCGCGTTCAGTTTGGGGGGGTCGAAGTCGGAGACTCCGAAGAGGACTGGGGGTCGAAAAGGAGGTCTGGGTACCTGCAACAGGTTCGTTTGGTGTTGATCGAAGACATCGTACACCCGCGGCCGAATGGATGACGGCTGGTGGTGCCTGGTCCTGTGAAGTAGGGCCGTTCTCGGGAGGACCTGAGAGTTGTTCGTCAGTCAAGGCTCATGATGCATCACACGACTGGAAGAAACAGGCACTGCTTGGACAGGTAGAGGAGCGGCACAGAGCATCCATGAACATCCACAGCAAATGAGCCACTCTCACAGACTGTGTCATGATAGAGGAACATCCACTCCACACTAAATGTGCGTTAGGGTTCGGCATCTGACCGTCGGGATGTCCCACTAACTGTGATGCGTGTTGCGCGGACCGTCGAGAATGGGACTCTCATCTCTTCCCGAAGCCTGTGCAGGGTCGATTCCGCGATGTTGAACTTTTGAACGGACTCATGGTCACCGCTGTTGAATGGTCGATTCCATTCGATTCCCAGAAATCCACGTCAGAGGTGCTTCTCAAAACCGGCTCCCTAGAAAGCAAGAGGTGTGAAAACAGTTGGACTCTGCAATTTGAGACACATTCATTTGGATTTCAGTCTTTCACCCGTTTTCTTCTGCTCGCACTGGCATGTTTTGCAGGGTATTGACCTGGAGACGGGTCAAGTGACTTGGAAGACTTGAGGATTGCAGGAAAGTGAGGGCTTCTATATATGATGCTGCTACTCGTACTCTTGAATGGCAATGTGGGTCTTCAGCAGTGAGGATCATGAGATGTCCGATGTGTATGTCCTCTCCTAAAGCTTATATTCCAAGACCGGAGATAGGGAAGTGGAGTGGAGTGGAGAGTGCAGTCTAAACTCCATGTAGTCTTCTTGAGGACTCGCCGCTGGGAAACTCCACCGGGACATCTGGAATGAGAACACGCCACCTTTTCTGCGTGTTCTCCCGATTTTCCAGGTTTTCATATACTACACTGTAATTGATGGAAGAACTTGCACATCATCTGGAACCATCAAAGCAGTGTAGATAGTAGATACATGTACACTGGTCCCAATCTCAGGTGGTGCAGGATTTGTTCAGAAGAACGGAAGAACGGCGCGTCTCTCCATGGGCTCGCTTCTTTTCAGGATGGCCCTCCCAATTCCGTAGTGAACAACGTGGACGTCCCCAACAAAAGATAGTAAAAGTATTTAGTAGTAGTGTATGTTAGTAGAAAAGAGGAGTTCGGACATTTACCCATTTTGAGAAACACTATTTTTTCACGCAATGTGCCTCTTCACAGCTTCTAAGACCGAAGCGGTTTCAGACTTTCCAGGTTTGTCCGAAACGAGCCAAGGAAGTCGCCATCAAGGTATACAAGACAGCGACCAAGTCGGTGAATAGTTCTGAGGCGCGATGTTCCGAGAGTTCGAACCGAAGAAGCGACCGGTCACAGACCAAACGCGAGATGGGAGATGATGGAGATGAAGGCACTTGAAGATCCGAAGGGCTGACAGATTTGATCGCGATCTCATCGGCGGAGAGGGGTTTCCGTCCACCGTGTCTTTGAGCGATCTGGCGACGAGCGAGGACCCCAGTCGACTCACACCGCCGCACCCAGGGCACATGGGTCGCCCTGAAACCTCGGGCTCTCCGTGCGCTCCGCGAGAAGGCCGAGATCCGGTCGGCAGGAGATTCGCCTGCAGAAGTTCAAGAGACAGATCCAGGTCCTCAAGATGTGTCCTGGATGGAAACAGATGAGAACTCCCCGGTGGAGACCGTCGTCACCAGTTCGCTATGCTGAGCAGTGCCCACTGGTGCCCACATCGTTTACCTTAAAACTGAGGCAAGACTAGCTCTGGGTTCTTGGCTTCAAAGGCGCAAATGTTGAGATTTGGGGTTCCCCTTTCTGCCAAGGTTCACCTTTACCCAGTCATACGAGATCGTGCGATGGTCGCAAGGGTTGGTTGTGGTTGGATGTTTTGGTCACCAAACTTTGGTAGGTGTTTGCTGACAAGCCGGACAAACAAGGCACCAAGACCAAAGCAAGGCTCTGACCAAAGCCAGAGCTGGAGGATACACCTGCTTTTTTGCCAAACACAGCTGAGCCCAACGACCGAACCATCCAGGATCGGATGAACCGGTGAGAGGGCCGGACCGACGAGCAGGTCTGCGACACTTTCGCCACGTCAACAGCTCACTGGGCACATCCCAAGAGACTGATTGGGCCACTTCTCGAGTTCTATAAGCACTCCAAAGCATGCTGAAATAGGTTTCATGTGGATATTGATACAGAAATTGGTTTCATGCAGCTGCAGTGTCGTTGGGATTTCCAACAACCTACAGCTTCCCACTCGGTCCCACCCAGGCTGCAGGAGCCCTTCGTGCAGCCGAAGGATGAAACCCTTTGGCACGCCGATCTGGCGAAGGTTCGGGGAAACCAGGAAGGGATCCTGCGGTGGGTAGGTCAACAGATGGTCAGCAGACCTGCACTTTCCTAGATCAGTCCACTGGGGAACCCAGTTTCCCCATAGAGCTAATGCCATCAACTTGTTGCAAGAAAGGTGGGGAGATGAATCAAGATCCCGATAGAATCTGATATACGCATGCTTTTAAAGGCCGAGACCGCGATAAATTCATGGCCACACGAGAATTTGGGCACGATGCTGGGTTTAGCGCTATGCTTTGTTTCTCTGGCGGTGTGGAATTGTTTTTTTGGTCAGAATGGACCTCCAGAGGGACCTGAGTTCGTTGCACTTCCCCCTCAAGCCAGTTCACTTTTGTCAGCTGCTCTGCTTCGTGTCTTCCCTGAGGGACTAAGCAAGTATACAGCTCATTTCCTACAAATTCTGGTATTTGGATCCAGGTTCTGTGTCTCAGCTGACAGTACCAGCACTCCTCGGAAGGCTAGCCCTTCCAAGCTTTTCATGATGCTGGTCGACTACTCGAAGGACTGAACCACGCGCTGGTGACGCCTTCACCAGCCTGACGCCTATATGGAGGGGATGAGTGGGAGATAATGGTTGGTTAAAGACTTCATACATAATTTCAGGACGGTGGGTTATAGGAAGAGTACGCCCGGTCACCCTGTTCACCATTGCACCAACACACATGAGAAAGGTGACTTTGTTGGGAGGAAAAGAGGACATCCATGTCCTGCTTGTACAGATTCAGAGGTTTCTATTCCACGTGGGCATTGCCCAGTCCACAACTGCTCAGGACGCGAAAGGTGAGCCCGCAGCGGACACCAACGACGGAGTCATGTATGTGATTACCGAGGTGGCACAGTACAGCCTTAAGGACCTGATCGTCGTCGCGCCAGCGATGAGGTCACGTTCGCGCGCTCGCACATAGGGAGTAGGGTCGGGCACCCGTGGGGTACTACCTGTAGCCACTGTAGCCCATGAAGCCCTTGAGGAACAGGGTGGAAGCCCATGCATGTCAAAGGCAGGAGAGTTAGGTTCCACTCACCGGATGTCAAAAGCAAGTGTCATTTTTAAACGTATTCATTTGCATTCTTTATGCAAGTGAAGTCAGTGAATGCCTGGAAGAACAAGAGTTCCAGAGGTCCCAGAGCCCAGAGAGATCTAGAACGCAACCTCGCACATTGGATTCGCGTTCTGCCCCGTTTTCCTTTTTCGGTGGCAAGGAGAGTCTCCCGCCTCTTCTTCTTGGTTTATTTGTTTTCGTCCTACCACCCCAAGTCAAACAGGTTTTCATCCTGGCTGCAGTGATAGTGACTAGTGATAGCTCACATTCTCACATATGGTTGTGGAATCCCACCAAGTGCGAATAGAGGGTGCCACTAGTGGCTTGTCAAGGAGTTTCCTGATCCAGATCCTATACATGTCATTCTTTTTTGGCATGTGGATTTGGAAAATAAGAAATATGAGAACGGATGTCTCGTTTTTGTACACTGAAAGCACGCTCCGACCCATGGCGGCCAAGACCCATTTGACTTTCGGCTCAAGCTTGCCATGGCCAGCGTTGCGCGTTGGGCGAGCGTTGGCCGGGTGAACAGTGATGGTTTCTTGGGCGCAGGTGGCAGGTGGCGGGGAGAGCCGAGCCGGCCCATCGTGGAGGGCCGATCGGGTTTCTGACCACCGTGGATGCCCGGAGGGGCCCTGGGTCTCAGGACAGGGCCGATGGAAGGCAGATCTACGTGAAGAGATTGGTCCAGCTCCTTGGATGAAGAACCAATACCAAACAACAAAGGCGGTCCAAAGGCGGAGAAACGTCCAAGACGAGCAAGGTGGAGGGGATGAGGAGTTCAGGACATTCAACGTCCCTCAACGGAGAGGAGTGGGGCCTCTGATTTTGGGCTGATTTTGTGGGTGATCGGTGTTGGAATAGGAACGAAAGATCAAGGAATCAAGTTGTGCTTGCAATGCCCATTTTAATGCCACCGATGCCGTCCATCATCATCGTTTGCCACTGATGTGGATCTTTGGGTAGGCGACGTTCTTCGTCACTTGCGAAGGGTTCGTTCGGTGCCCGGTGGATGCGAGCGACATGGAGCTCTTTTGAAATACCATACCCGGTGATTGAGGTTGGACATCCCATACTATAGAGGGTAATTTTCTACAGAATGCCTGGCTAACCCCCCCTACCATTGTTCACCGGGTATGAAATAATTACCTGCATTTGGCAGTTTTGCTGGCTGGGATCTTTTGTTAACTCGCTATCCTTCCTGCTGGCAAGCTCAATGCAGGCTCCGAGAGCAGAAGAAGTGGGCAGAAGCTTTGGATTCTCGACGGATTTGGTTGATGTTAGAGTTAGAGGGTAGACACCATGAGGTGGAATAGATGCTTGACATGGCTGTGGCTCAGAACAGGATACGGATACGGCTTTATCAACTGACCTGACAGATCAACCATGATTAAGCCTATAATCAGCACAGAATTGGGTTTGCCCAGCCACCATAAAGACATCACTCGAAGCCTTTAAGGCCCACAGCACAAAAAAACGGGGTTATGCCATGGGGTGACACCATGGGACATCCAGGGATCACAACGAGTATCAACGAGTCATTCCATCCAACAAACCGTTTGACATCATGGGATCCCACAAAGACTCGTCCCGTCCCACTATGTCGCACCTTGGGACCCCCAAGCAGCAGGGTATTTGGGTAGATCATACTTGGGGTAAGAGGGACGAACGTCTCCCCACCAAAACAAGTTTGAGCATGTTCCATCATTTTCCTTTGAACCGAGTCTTTTGTATGCCCAAGGTTCAAGCACGACTTAAGAAGAGGACCTATGGCCCGGTGGTCATTGAACTCCCGGACATCTGAGATGCTCTCACCAACACCACCTGATCGAATCGTTTCATCACTGAAATCAGGAATGAAAGCCCAATGGCCGAGGGTCTCCCTCTTCAAATACCAATCCAGTCACTTCATAAGGATCTCCTGGGCCTCTTGCACCTTCGTCGTCTGGAAGCCAACGTCATCTGCCGTGGTGCAGCACTGAGCTGTTGCGAGCGAGCCAAGCGATGGCGTTGGGGAATGACGCCTGGCAGCGTCGCGACGGCTGTACGGTTCGAACGGAGGTTCGAACGACCCCCTTTTTGGTCGGGCACTCCAATGGATGAGAAGGGCACGGCCCACATTGGGGGTGGTTCAAAGATGTTCAAACATATGTTGAGTAGGGTCAAGGTATAGACATATACCTGAGACGTGTTGGTCGGATGGAGAAAAGAACCATCTTTAAGGAGGTTCGACGCCTTTTTTGTGACGCCCAAATTGAAGGGGAGACAGGGAGCATCTGAAAGGTTTCCAGCCCGATCTGAGTCAAGGAGGTCACTCTGAACTAATGGCACTGGTGTTTTGCCACCTAGAAATCGAAAGCCTCTCCATCTCATGTTATGTTATGCCCAGGCAAGTCTAAACAGCCATCTAAGAACCGGGATGAACTTCTCCTTATCCCCGAAGCATTTCCATTGGACAAACCAGCATCCTTGGGGCCAAAAAAAGGCCATGCATGGCCACACACGTCTTCGCCAATTGGTTGGCCATGACTCATCTCCGAACCCCAGGCAGCTGCTGGATTCTGGTGCCTTCAGTGTGATTTCGCTGAACTCTGGGGTCTCCGGCTGCGGGTGGCCTGGCATTTGAAGAGAAAAAAGAGCCCAGAGGACTACTCCGCCTGAATGGAATGAACAACGTTTAAATATCATGTTAAAAGCGTCTCACATCTCACACTCTCGTGAAAGACCTGCCAATGATATTACTTGGATATGTCAGTGTTCAGATACGTTCAGATCGCCATCTTTCCGTCCGCCTTCGTGGGAGGCGAGCACTGGCGTGGCAAATGGCTTTGGAGCTTTTGAAGCGACACGCAGGCGGGGAGTTTCGCCCTTCGCGCATCGCCGGGTCCACGTGGATCCATAAGGAATGGACAACATCTACCGTTTGCTGCGTCGTCGTCCGCTTTGGGCCCTTTAGCCTCTAGTGGTGGAAAGGGGAAGAGGGTCCGACCCTGATCATTCCCAATAGATTCCTATGACTTATGAGTCACAGGCTATGACCATAGAATGTGCCATATTCTGTTTCCATCATGAAATGGTTGGTTCAGCCTCGCCGCCAGGGCGTGGGGCTGAGGGGTTGCCCTCCTGGAACGCGGCGGCCAGTGGCCTTGTTGGTGGTCGCACTTGGCGACTGGCGCAAGGGCTGCTGGGTGAGATGATGGGAGGCGGCTGACCGCATTGTAGCGGTTTTTGCATGGGGTCCATATGAGAAAGGCGAGTGAAAGGTGAGTGGGCAGGGAAGCTATGTATTATGGAGGGACCGAAGAACATCGTCACCCGGTGGACTTGGAGCAACTTCGAGATGCTACCTTTGCTGGTTATGACAAGGACCTCTTGATCTAATTCTCCCATCAGTAGCCTGCAATACTGACTACACGGTCTTCAATCATTCCCAGATAGCATCCAAAAGGTTCCTCAAGATTTCGTAAGATCCAGTGCAGTGCCATCCCCCAAAGCCTGGCATCCCATGCCTTCCCACTTTGCTGCTCCAGATGGGCCTCAGCCGGACCTCATCTCCTTTGGCAGCGTGATGCGTGGACCTCTCTCCGCCTGGCCAGAAGCCTCGGCACTGCTGGATGAGGCGTCGATCGGTGACGATGCGGACATCACGTCGAAGCGTTTGGAAGGGATGAACGACGCGTCGAAGTGCAGAGGATCCCGCTTTTTTGGGGCAAATTTTGGAAGAGGTGGAGGATTTCCTCAGCTGCGCAGCGGTGTCGCCGACATTTGGAAGACCAAAACGACAAGCAGGCTTCATTCCTTCGGCTCCAAACGGGAATCCCGGGAAAGGCGAATGACGTTGAGAACTCGGTTGGGGCAGGACGGTAGAACTCGCTTGGGGTCTTGCAGCTTGGTCTTGGTTCGCTTCCATGACACCAGGTTCAAAGACATCTTGCCTTTTCCAGGTGGGAATAGTGAGACATTCCAACACATCCCAGTCAGAGGGGAGTGTGAAGAAGAACGGTTATTGAACGGTTATTCATGGTGATTCAGTCCCCAAATGTTCCCAAGGATTCAAAAAAATGAGCTTCTCACAGGTGCAGTGTATGTCAGAAAGGGGACCAGATGCAATGACACACCATCTCTGCGTCACCTTCGCAGCGAAGAGTTCACGGTGCCTTCGGGCGTGCGGCGTCCGGCGTCCCTGCAAGGCAAGATGGCGCCAGCTTCAACCAGGCGGCGCCACAACAAAGGGGTCTTGGGAGAGAATGGGCTCCAACAAACCGGAGAGAAGAATGCGGAGTCAGCCCCAGAGAGTATCACATCAGTGGTTCCAACCCCTATCAGATTGATCTGTTGGATCTTACTTTCAACGCTTTCAACATGTACTTTGCAACAAGCAAAGCAACAAACCATCATTGGATCACTTCCTTTTGAAGCTGCCGCCACCCATTTCCGCCTGCCCGCATGCACCCACTGCACCCTCTCCACTGTGGGACGGGGATGACGGGGCTCAGCTCCACTCAAGGGATGCACCTCTTCAATGCAGCGATCATTTGCTTGGGTGAAGGTGCTGCATGGGAGCAGGTGCCGTGGGCCAGTGTTTGCGCCTATTTCGCAAGGAAACAGCTGTGCATGGGAACAGCTGTCCTGTTTCATAAACCAGCCCAGCCCAAGTGCTTTCTAGATCTTAGAGCACTTCCTTTTCTTTTTCTGCCTCGCAAGAAAGTGGAGAGAGCACTTTCGGAAAGGGCTGCTTTCTGGATCTCCCTTCACCCATCTCCCACATGCGCCAGGTGCTCCACTTGTTCACTGGCCTCGACGCCCCGGACGCCGCCACACGCCACGCCGCCATCAGCGCGGCGGCGAACAGCGCGGCCACGCGGGCAGCAGTGGCACTCGTTGCGCCCGCGGTGGATGTCGTTGGGGTGACGGCCGCGCTGGGCGACTTGGGCTCTTAAGGCGCTTCACCATTTCGATGGCTTGCGGTTGGGCTCCGGTTTTGGTGGCGAGCTCCCTTGTGTTTCACTTCTAGAGATTGGCCACAGAGGCTAAGACTGCTGCCCTAGAGCTTGCGTGATACTCCAAAAGCCATCCAGTGCCATAGGCCCATGGAGATTTTGCGGCTGAAGCTTCAGGCAAAAGTCAAAATATATTTCTGCAGAGACATGGCAAATGCAGAAAACAGACATCTGAAATTCTTGGCAGATGCCCAATCCTTCTTCCAAACCCATCTAGATGGCTTGCCAAATCTCAGTTGGTGGGAGTCTACGGCGGTCCACAATTAAAAGAACCCAAACACCGAACATCAAAGACATTCGAACAAGCTTTTATTGTTTCGTGTTGTTTCTATTTGCTTGCGGGTCACCTTTGTCCAAGTCAAAAATCAGCTCCACGCTGCGCCGTGATCCCCCCGCAGCCCCAGGTGCTTTGGATGGTCAGTGGCTTTTGGCCTTCGAATTACTCCTCGAGCTCCGAGCAGCTCAAGGGCTTCTCGGTGCACCAAAGACGTGGGCTTTCTCGCTCAAGTGGCCCTCTCAACACGACCCATGGGCGCATATGCCGATCACTTGGGGTAGTGCCATGGGGGGTCAATTGATCGGCATATATTATGGCAGTCCCATGGAGCGTCTGGGATTATTCCATCTGCTAGATCAACTATCATTAGAATTGGAAGCATGATTAACGACTTGAATGTCCTTTCGACTTGTCATTTTTGAATATCATTCGTTTTTCTTTGTGGCCCACCATGTTCCATCTTTCAAGGCGTTTGGACTCCCAGTGCTGTGGCTCCGCTGTCGGTGCAGTGGGGCGCTGGGAGATGGCGCTGCAGCTCCTGACGCTTGGGAGGCCGTGATGGGGCGTCGGGGATCAGCGGGTCCAGGGTGGCTTGGAACGGATGAGAAATAATCACAAACTGAGCACCCGCAATACGCGAAGAACGGAAGAACCCTGCAGCTGTTTTCGATTATTACTTTTATTTTTTTAAAACGTGTTTTTTTTTCATTATTTTGTCCATCTGTGGCGAATCATTTGCATGAACTTCGATGTATAGGGCGTGATGGTGTGATGATCGTGATTGTATGCCATATTCTCATCCACCCATAGCCACTCCCGTCCGCCAGGTCTTGGGAGATTCCTCCAGACCTCATCTCCTGCAATCGCGTGCTCTCAGTACTGGAGCAGCAGGACCGAGCAGCAGGGGCGACCACGGCGATGCCACGGGGATGTTCGCGGTGATTTCGAGACGAAGCGACCCAATGCATGTGTTTTGGAGTGTGTTTGGATGGTGTTTTGTCTGGGGGCTGTTGGTTTGGTTGGGTTTGGTCTGTTCTGTTTGGGTTTGGTTGGGTGTTTTATGTTTTGTTTTGCTTGGTGCATCTTCTTCGAACTCGCTGCACTTCTGCATTTGGCCATGCTCAAGGCCTGACCGGCCTGACCTTTGGGCCAGGGCAACGAAGATAGGAAAACATCTATGGAATCTATGGTAGGAGCAAGGACGCTACTAGGAGCAGAGGGCATCGCTACTAGGAGCAAGGACGCTACTAGGGGCTCCTGGCCCTAATAGGAACAAGAAGCTACTAGGAACAAAGGAAGCGATGGCCTCCAATCTAGTGGCATTCTTGCTACTAGTAGCTATTTGCTAGTAGTAATGCCAGGAGCCCCTAGTAGCATCCTTGTTCCTAGTAGCGATGCCAGGAGCTCCTAGTAGCAAGGATGCTATGGTTTTTGGTTGAGTCACCCGGGGGCTCCTTCAGACTGTCAAGGAGTCTCTCGGCCGGGCAGACTAGGCATGACATATCTCATCTCACTGCCTCAGATGTGGCAGGAGCAGTGGAGGGTGTCTAGTCAGCTCCTATCTGGTTTCTCGGCTGCCTGAAGGAATCTGTAGAACTTGTCTGGTACGATCCTGATCCCGCAAACTCCCCGGCGACTAGCGGTTTCACTTGACTTGCTAAACCATTGGACTATTACATGCAAATTCCAGGATCAAAGGTTCATTCGGGGTTCAGAATGTTTGGTTTCTGCCCCAGTCATGAGTTGCTGCATGGAATGAATCCAAAAGATCCTTGCTTGCAGCATCTGTCTACCTCTCCAAGGTCTCGATGAGACAGACCTGGTGAGCCTCAATGAATTGCTGAGAGCCTTTGAGAAGGCGAGGCAATGGCAAAAAGCCTTCGAACAGATGTGCCTTCGGCATTCGAACAGGCCTTCTTCGCGAAAGCGGGACACTCCACACCATGCAGGTTTCGAAGAAACCGTGCAACGTGTTTCTGAATCATCCAGGAATCCATGTTCCGAATCGATGCCAAGACATTTGGTCCATCCCTTACTTTTGAGGTGCTCCATGCGGGTGCGGAGGAACGACATCGACGACATCAGCTGTGTGGCACTGCTGGGCGCCTGTGAGAAGGTCGCACTGTGGCGCCACGCGCTCCAAGTACTACCACCAGGCGGGTGGGGCGGGTTTTTTTGAGTTCTTGGTGATGCGTTTGCAAGAACCTCGGGTGACGAAATAAGGATTTCTGGAAAAGTTGGTTTTTGAGCTGCTTGGTGCGGAAAGCTGACGAGCTGATTAGGTGAAAGCTGACGACTGAGACATGTCCGAAGCTCGAGGATTTTGAGCTAGTACCTTTCCTCCCAAAAAGTGAATTCAATAGGGGCAAGAACGCAAGAAAGGTCTACCGACAAAAGGTGCAAAAGCCCTAGGAGCATCACACGCTTGTTCGAGCAATTCTGGTTTTATCCAGGTCAATCCCCCTTCACTTTAAGGCCACCAAATGGTGATAAGAATATCCATTCACCAAGCTCTTCATCCTTCGTCCATCCCTCCAGGCGCCAACATCGCACAGCTCAACACGGCGTTCGCGTCCTGCGAGAAGGGGCGACGCTGGGAAGAGGCGCTTGGGCTGCTGAGGAGCATGCGAAGGCCGAATCCGAAGCGATGCCACTTGAACAACCGATGGGAGATGGGAGAGGTGACATGCTGTGACCGAGTTCCCTTCAAAAAGATCCTGGCATGTAGGCAAGCTGGGTGTTGCTTTATGAACATTTGTGAACATAGCAAAGGAATGTCCCAACTACCATCAAACTAACTAAAGAAACACGTGTGATTAGTTGGGATTTGTGATTTGTGACTGTCTCCATCTCAAGCTACTTGCTGCTCAAGCTCTTCAGCTGAATCGCACCGACGTGGCGGCATCAGCGCGGAAGTGATGGCGGAAGTCGAAAAGAGTGGCAAGAGTGAAGTTGAGAGAGATCCGGAGGCTGGAATGGAATCCCCAAGAGCTCAAGGTGAAGTGATGCCTCCTGCATGGAAGGAGGTCTATGGCGGAGGCAGATTTGAAGTAAGATCCTTGTTTCCTCCATTCACTTGGCTGCCTGCATACATCAGATTTGCCAAAGGCTGGGAGACTGCACGACTTGGGATTTCTTTGTTTCAATTCGAGCGTAGCGTTTCGCAACCCCAAACGGCCCTTATTTTCGAGCCCTCGAGCCTCGAGGCCATGCTACGGCGGGAGACTCTGAAAAGATGGGAGAATTGCCGTACTCGATCAAGGGTGATTTCATTGCAGGCCTGGGACGCGTGTTTGTTTTTTCTTCTTTTTGTTGGCACGTTATGTTTTGCTTGAAATTGGCGGCATACGTTTCTTCAGACCGGTTGGAAACGTTGGAACAGGTACTTGTTTTTCTCCTGGTTTTGCTGATTCGGTGATTCGGTGATATGTGTGATTTCCTGGCTCAATCCCCTTCTGGTGAATAGTTCTTAATACGTATTACGTATGTTTCTATTTGTTCCAGGTTCCTGGACAAATCCAAGATGTGGACGGAATGTTTTCACAGATTTCTAGAGTCGGGTTCACTAAGCACGCAGAGTCACTGCCCTTCCTGTTTTTTCAAGCATGTCTTTGGAGTTCTTTGAACACTTGACACAGATGCTGAGATGCCGATGCCGCACCGCAAAGGCTCAATCAGAAAGGACAGGGGATCTATAGAATAACTATTTGCCAAGCTGTATGTAATGTTAACAGTCTTTCACAAAGGGACTGTCTCCGTCATTGTGCCGCGGGTGTCTTCCTCCCACGCCGACGCAGGTTTGACCGTGGGGTTGATGTTGGTGCCTCAGTGCTTAGCCTTCGCCTTGCTGGCAGGGCTGCCGATTCGGGCGGGCTTGTATTCCTCATTTGCTCCCCTGGTGATCTATGCCTTACTGGGTAGCTGGATTAAAATGCCTGACGATGATGGGTGCTAAAATGTGCTAAAGTGATTAAGCTATCCAAGCATTTGTAAGCGTGATTTCCACGTCAATTTACGGCTACCTTCCATTGTGGGAATCCGTTGACACCCAATATTTGATAGATGCTTGGGAATGCAGATTGGCATTGATGGTTGAGTTGCATGCTGCATGTTACACTCTTTCAATCTATTTTACTATCATATCATGTCTGAAGAACTAGTGTAACACACAACTCGTTGAATCTATTTCACATATCTAAAGCCGGGAGTCCTCACAAGTAATATGTCTGATTGCTTCTGAACACTCCGTTGATGTTGCTCATTGGTTGTTTCCGAATCTCCACGGGCCGACGGACGCGACGGATGTTGCTGAGGTACCCTCCGACAGCTTCAAGTGGGCCCCACGGCATTGATCAGTCTCTTGACCGGTCAGGCCTTGGATGCAGTGAACTTGTTGGGAGACGACGAGCGCTTGAGTGGGGCAAGCACTTTAGCACTCTTGGTGGGTCTGGTGAGTCTTCTCTTGGGCATCCTGCGCTTTGGATTTGTGGTGGACTTCATGTCCCATAGTGTCATGAGTTCCTTTTGCACAGCTTCAGGCCGGAGGAAAAGCGAACAAGCACAGAACTCTACGGAACTCTTCGATGGTGATCAGTTTAAATGGGGGATTCTTTCTCCTTCCTCAAGCCTAGCAAGGCATGCTTGGTTTAGTTAAGTTTTGCACATCTGGCGAACCCTTTTAGATTGCAACCGCCTCTCCAGAGCCCTTGGACCGCCTACCAGGCGTGATCATCGCTACATCCCAACTGAAGCATGTCCTTGGCATCAATATCAAGCGACACAAGTACTGGTGGGAGACTGCATATGACCTTTGCTCCAAACTTCCGGAAACTGATGCTGCAACCGCTGTGCTTGGCTTCACACTGTTGGCAATGCTGACCTTTTTTAAGAAGTGGAAGCAAGCAGGGAATGAAGCCAAGCGCTCGAAGAGCCTTATTTGGAGGTGGTTTCCCAAGAGCAAGGACTCCTGTGCTTTCAAATCTATGAAGATCTGTGCAGACTTGTCCTCCGTGCTTTGTGTAATCCTTGGCTGGGTTTGGGGCTTCATCTATAGGGAAGCTGGAATCAATTCAGTGAGGCTCATCAATGACAGCGAAAGCAATGGCTTTGTTTTCCTTCTCCCCAGCTTTGACGGCAAAACTCCAGACCTCATCGTGCCTGCAGTGATGATTGCAGTGGTGGGCTTCTTGGAAACCATTGCCGTAGGTGGCAAGATGGCCAACGAAAAGCGATACAGCTACGATGCAAACCAAGAACTTCTGGCCTTGGGTGCTGCGAATGTTGGTGGAGCCTTCATGGGAGCTTTCCCCATTACAGGCGGCTTTTCCAGGACAGCAGTCAACGCCATGTTTGGTGCGAGCTCCCCATTGGCTGGTGCCTTGACATCGATCATCGTGGTGATTGCGGTGTATTCCTTGATGCCAGTGGTGGAGATGCTGCCTTTGGCAGCCTTAGCTCCCTTGATCATCCATGGTGCTATTGGTGTTACTGACTTTAAGGCTTTCATCCCCACCTTCAAGGGAAACAAGTTGGACTTCCTCATCATGTTGTTCACCTTTTTGATGTCTCTTGGCTTGACGGTGAAGGAGGGCCTGATCACCGGCGTGGCACTCTCCATCCTGAAGCTCACCTATGAAGTGGCTATGCCCAACTTGGCCGTTTGTGGGCAGGTGGAAGATGGGACCTTCAGAGATGTGAGGTACTATCCAGAGGGTCAGATGATACCCAAGAGCGTCGTAGTTCGAATGGATGCTGGAATAAGCTTCGCAAACACCAGACGCTTGCAGGAGTTTTGCATGCGTGCAATGAGCGCCGCAAGCAAAGCTGACTCCTCGGTGTCACATTTGATCTTGGATTGCAAATCCGTCAACGGCACCGACATGACTGGGTGTGAGGCCATCGAAAACCTCGCCATTTCGTTGGAGAAGCGCAAGAAATCCCTCGTTTTGGCCAACTTGAAGGCACCGCTCACGAAGGCCAATCCCGACTGGCGCATGTCATGGTGAGTGCCTGACAGACATGTCGCCTATTGCTTTATAATGGTCACCATGTTTGTGGAAACTTTTGCAATGCTACTTTGCGTTTGCTGGTAGAGTAGAGATATGTGCAAGATCATAATTTATCCACATTCCTTTTCTGAAAAGCCCAAGCAGACTTGATGTTTAACCTGGATAGCTTTTCAACATCGAGAACTAGCGCTACAGAGTTGCTGCAGGTTTAGGCCAGAATCCGTACATAAGAGTGAGCCTCCAGTTTATCAATACAGCACATTTCCACAAATATCAATGACCAAAAGGTTGAGAATAGCTCATGTAATTCCTGTCCCATGACAAGAGATCGTGGGCCATGAACATGAGTTCAAGATAACTCGTGACATGGTGCAGTCCTTCAGGCCATGTTCGCAGCCGGGGTCGACAAGCACATCGAGGCCAGTCAATCTGATAGAACATGTTTACACCCCCGCTAGCTAACGTGGAACCTGAGGATTGACCGGTGGAAGACCATTTTCCTCTACAACCCAGTGGTTTTGGGGTTCCATGTTTGTCTGCAGGGGAGTAATAGTTTATATAATGTTTATAACTATGACCCAGAATTTTTTTCGTCAAAACATTATCTACCAGAAGAATTTATGGTATGACAAATTCTCTGATAGTTCTTTGTAACTATGACAAGTCTGAAGAACTTTGCCCAAGAGTTTGCCTGTCTGAAAGAATCCTACCTTGCAACGATCAAAGACATTCGAAGGCGCATGGTGGGCACCTTTGTTGGAACATGGCCCAAGCCATCGCTTTAGTCAATGGCGGCGATCCCGCAGCAGCCAAAGGGATTCTTGGAGAGCAAGGGTCAGTCGAGTGGGAGAGTGGGATGGAAGAACTGAAGAAGACTCATCATTCTCATTCATTCAGATCCATTTTTCTTCATTGTCTCATTCTTCATTCTTACATCCTTCTCCTGGCCACTGGTTGCACCATTCTTTGATCTCAAGTCTTGCCCAAGTCAGTGCCTGATGCTCCTCCAAACATCACAGTACAGCGGTACGTCCGCGGAAAACATCGCATGGATTACAGTCGATGGCACAAGAGTTTCAAGAGTCGATGGCACCCTTGGGCCCTCAAGGATTCTAAAACACATGTCATGTACTCTGAAACCACTGTCAATGGGGCCCTGTTTGATGGATCCTTTTCGAGCTCCCGGCGTCACCGCCGGTCGCGGGTTTCGAGTTCGGTCTGATGTGTTCGTGTCGTTTGTTCACTGCAAAACGCACACTCACTCGGTCCATGTGGACCCTCTGTGTTCTCAGAGTATTCATGTGGACCCTCATGAGTAGTAAGTGCAGTGCAGAATCAAGTCACTTGGTGAGAAATCGCGCCGCGCCTGGAAGTAGCTCCTCTACATCATAGTTTTAGAGAACGGCATGTCATTTTTTTAAACTGCGATATTACGGATGTCAGACTCATTGACGGGTGTCAGACTGCCTTGAATCCAAGGTCTGTGGCTGATCTTCACAGCCGAGTTCAATCCAACGCAATGACTTTCAAGCAATGTATCCCTCTCTGAATTGTAGAGATGGGATGCAAGCTTTCGCTGCACGGGATATCCAACCGATACCCGTATTTGCGTGTTGGATGATCTCCACTCAACTCTTTCTGACATCCAACCATTGAGATTCTGACAAGTGAAACAAGCGCACCAACCGCACATTCCATGCAGATCATCCAATATATATAATTGGCTTTCCATGGGCATTCGCACCCGTTGCGATATGCTGACACATTCGCACAAGCTGCGACATGCTGTCAAGGATGTTCGCACAAAATATGCGCAGAAGTTCTGTTGTGAGTGGACCCGACTAACAGTGGTAAAGCCTGTTGAGCGGGTCTTCCAGGATTCTCCCAATTCCGAAGACCACCAGTTTTCTTCGAACATGGGCGGGTGAAAGCCATCCAACAGTCGTTGGAACTCCACCACCAGGCAGACATTTCTGCAAGCCAGGCAGAGGGTGGCGCCAGATGCGAGGAGCCTGGTCTCAGTCAGCTGTGCGTGCGCAGGTGCAAGGCAATGGGAAGCTGCCTGGAGCTGCTTGCAGGACACTGGGAAAACTGGGATGCCAGTGGAATTTGCTTGACGATCCGTCCACAACTTGAATTTAAGCTCAAGAGGATCACAATGAGCTTGTGCCCAGCACATACCGGATGGTCGTTCGGTCTGTAGGCTTATCCTAAACTGGGTTTTACGTTTGCGTGAAACATCAGGTATTTTTTGGTGCTGTTTCTTCTTTAGCAGGGCAAGCAAGGATCCAGCAAGGCAAGAAGTTGCTCCAACGTTTGCCGAAGTCAGGTACTGCAAGTAAGACTGGCACATACAACTTGGGGTGCTGCGCCACCGCCACATCTTCATGGCCGAAAACATCATCGTCACGTGTCACGAAAAGAGTTCCCGAGGAACTGAGGAACCACGTTAAAACCCCTCGATGGCCAGGAGGTTGGAACGAATGGGAGAAGCAAGAGAAGCAACCACTCCTTGATCTTGGCCTATGAGGCTCTCCTTGTGACCCGGCGAGATAGGACCATCGACACCACAGCCGTCCAAACAGTCCACAAAGAAAGCCTTTCCAGGTTAGTTGGACTGTTGGACTTGAATTAGATATAGCGGGTTTCAGAGTAGATAGCACAAGGGCCCCCAAGTTTAGTGGTTTAAATGGACCCCCATCTAAAAGACATTTTGTGGTGCCAGTGCCATCTACCCTGAAACCTAAGTACTGGGTGAGGCAAAAGGAACTGGACAAAAACGGGCTATGTTAACTAATTTCCTTTGCCACTTCACTCTCTCTCTCTCTCTGCCAGTGTTTCTGCACATGTTCATGCCAAGACCGCTCATGTCGGAGGGTCAAGACATGTAAAGATTGTCTTGTTTTCAGACCGCTGCATGTTTTCGGGTCATCATGTTTGCGAGTTCTGCATTCACTGCAGCTGCAGCTGTCATGCAACACAGCGTCGACCCCCGTCCCCGCCCCCCGGTCTCCTCCAGTGCTCCGAAGCCTGGGAGTCGATCTGAAACTGATCTGAAACTTGGTCCAGTTTCCACACCGCTTCTGGCAATGGATCTTATACCACTATGGGATATATACAGGAACTTCATGGTTTTGCCATAGATAAGCAGACCGGGTATGTCATCGGAAGCTTGCACTGCTGACCGATCCGCTGTGTGAGTCCTGGGGCAGGCACTCGGCACTCTTCCTTAGCATTCCTCGACATTCCTGTTAACATTTTTCTTGGCAACATACTTCTTGAGCACTCCAACACATTACTATGAACTCTCCTTCTCAGGTTCAAACCCCCCAAGCACTGGGTACGACCATGTGTGACTTTTTTGGTGTGACTTGTCACAGCTCCAGAGCCCCAGAGCTTACTCCGCTTTCGCGAATTAGGCCGCCCTGGCCGTTCCACCGTTGGACGCTGCGCATGCGCAGCTGGCAGCGCAGCTGGAGTTCTTTCTAGCCCTGGAAGGTGGGTGAGGGCAGATCGGCTCGGCAGATCGGAGGGTGGTAGTGGTGGAGGATGGAAGTGGAATTCATTGTCCATCTGACATTGTGTTTTGACACATGTTTAAGGCGATGTATCCCAAGAGAAGCGATATGCCAAGAATTTTGAGAAGAGTGGTCTTTAGATAAAGTACTCTGAGGTGCTGACATATCCAGTCCATCCCCTGCCTTCCAAACTTCCGATCAAGAAGAACATGGTGGTGAAACGTGAGTCGTGAGTTGGAGGTTGTCCCGTCAGACGGGCGTTGTCAGCGCTGTTTTGGACGCACGGGTATTCTTCAGTTTGAGATGCATGACAGGTAGCCATAGGAAGCATCTGGTGAAAAGAATTTGTTTTCTTCTTCCAGATCCGGAACGACCGGCAACACCTTGGGTTCCTCGTGGACGTTTTTGCGATACGAGAAGGGATGCGAAGCAAGCAGTCTGGACATTTTGCACATCGAGACTCCGTTCGGGGCTCGTCTTGTCAGGTCTCTCCTCCTTGCACTCCTGGCGCTGTTCTGTGTGACGGGTGCTGTGTGACCCTTCGGACAGTGGCAGCGCCTTCGAGACTTGTAGGTTTGCCTGCGGAGAAGAGACCATGCAGAGTTCATAGCTAGCCTATATATAGCTAGGTGGCACGACCTTCTGAGTAGAACAAACAATGTCTCTACTTCTGAGAACCCCCTGGCACCAACCAGCGAAGCCCTTTACTTCAGATCAGCACCTCTGCAGAAATACCATTAGGGAGGACCTTTGTTCGGGTCTTCCCCAAAGAACACGGACCCAGATCTCGGTGAAAGAACACGTATCTAATTTCCAGTAGATCCACGTGGATCTTTCAGACAAATTCTGGGTTCTGAAAGATCCAGATCTTCTCCGCAAAAAACCGACCATCGAAGGGTTCCGAGCTTTGGAAGGTGATCTGGTTCCGAGTGGCGCCAGTTCGCTGACACAGATCACCGGCTCAACGATTTGAGAGATGCTCAAGGATCATTCTCCTTGTGAAAGCTAATGAATGGCTGCTCAGGGCATGTTTCACACCACCAATGTGTTGCAGGCGACCCAGGTCGGTGATTTCGGTCGACCTGCGTCAGGTCGACCGGTCGGTGCTGCTTGACCCGTCCGCATCGAAGGGGTAGACGACCATCCAGCGGTCGTGGTTCGGGACGTGGGCAAGTTGTGGTTCGAAAAATTCGCGAACTGCCAGGTTGAGCTGACTAGAATTTGGAGTTGCAAGGTGGTAGTACAGGGCCCAAAATGGCATCGGCTTGTGGAAGTTCCAAGTTGAAGTCCCCAGAACCCATGGAACGCAAGAGCTTACACTACCTCAAGTCTTCACAGGCAGTCTTTACATGTCTTCTTTTCAGCGGTCAACTCGCCTCAGGCCTGGTGTGTTTAGCTCCAACCCTTTGACGGCTTCAGAGGCTCAAGACGTCTTCTGCGGCATCTGTCATCAATCCTTTCGTTCTTTGCACATTGCCATGCCTCACCTGGTCTGCCTGGTGGCAAGCTGGGCTCTCGCTCAGGGCGTCCGGACGACCGGCACCGAACGCGAACGCAGCGGCCAGGGTCCATTCGATGGTATCTTGGAAGAAGTATTTCCTCCAGATTGCAAGACATCCTGCAGATTTCCGGTAGGGTTGTGGAATCCGACTGGCTCCTGAACTGGACTGAACCGGATTCCTCGCAACCGGATCAGACCCCCAGCAGGGCCGTATGGAACGTCCTTCCAGGCCTCGGCCTTGGCTGCACACCTGACAAGGGAAAACGTGATGAGAAAGCGACATGGCTAGTGGAGCATGGATGTCAGGGTCATCGGCTGCGTACGATGTTGCTGGGCCCTAGAAACTAGGCTGATGGGATCCAAACTGTTCCAAGGTCCACTCTGCTCAGAGGGTTATGTAGTTATGTTCCACCGTTTTTTAGAATCATAACAGGTGCACATTCGCTGGATCGGTAGATATATAGTGACAAATAGGTGATCCAGGTGACTTGATGTAATCCTAGGGTCAACTCTATGTCTGTGGACAGTTCACGTGGGAGGTTGGGCAGCGCAGACCCAAAAGCCTCCACAACCATAGCTGGGGGCTTCCCCGGCAGGTAACTAGATGCTCCTCCAGACTAAATGAAGTGACCTGCAGGCCTTTGGTCTTGGTTCTTTGGTCCAGTCCTCTCTTTTCTCCAGCCTTTCTTTTCTTCGAGCGCGCGCCAGGTATGGATCTCCACGGCGGTTGGTCTGCCTCTCCCAGCAACGGTTGCACTGAATCGGGATGGAAAGGAGACTACAGCATCTTTGGAGGCCACCAGAAAATCCTCAGCGTGGAGATCGGACCAGAGAAGACGACGTTTACCTGGAGTCCAGAAGTGGCCAGCCAAGTGACTCGCATGTCCAGACCAGAAACATGTCCATACCAGCCTTTGTAATGGGATCACTTTCTTCCAGTGTTCACTGGACACCTCCATGCCAGCTACGCCTGAAGCTCTCTTTTTTTCATGTTCATGTTCCTTTTTTAAAGCTGCAATATGAATTCAGCCGATATTGAACAAGGCCAAGCAGTTGAACGAACAGACGAAGCTTGGAACATGGATGAGGATGGAAGGCCTGGCACCAGTGTGATTGTGTGGGAGTTTCCAGTGTGATTGTGTGATGATGTTGTGATAAAGCTCTCGGAGTTAGAGTCTCCAGCATCCATTAGAATCCATCACATTCGTCAGTGATGCTCCTGCATTATCCTATACTTCAGGTCACTTCATCATTTTGCACCAACAACAAGTCCTCCAATGCCGGCCCCGTTGAGGTCCTCAGCTGAATCAAGATCTTGCTGACTTCTTCTGCAGCCCCGGATGGCATGCCTCTGCGTCGCTTGGCAGTGGGCTGGGTCGACATGAGGAGCCGCCATGGGAGAGCTTATGGATCGGTTAAATCTGCATTATATATATATTATTTGTTATTTGATATATATATATACAGTATATTGATTGTGCAAAGTCTGTATTGTCAGTCACGTCGTGGGAGAGCTTTTCCTTCCCTTTGTCTTTAGGAGCAGCTGCATGGGGCGTCCCCTTTTTCCGACTGAAGCAGGAACTCGATGTAGCGGTATACAGGAACTCCTCTGCCACCGACCAGTTGAAGCAGAGGTCGAAATGCCACACTGGATTTGTATGTATAGTCTGAGACACGATTCAGACGACTTCGATCCAGACGACTCCACCTCGGAACGACTTCAAATGATCCTGTTTCGCAGCGAGTTCGGACGCTTGTGTGACGTCAACGTCCGAAGGCGCTTGGTGACCAACGCATGCTCCTTTTGGTCTTCCTTGACCAGCCGATGTCCAGCACTTTCCGCTGAGCCCATCGATCCTGAGAGCCTCCCAGAGTCGGCGGTGCCGAGACATGTGAGCCGCATCGGGAGCGGGGTCTCTGTAGGGCCCAAGAGATGCCCGGGTAGCGTCGTTTCTCGCTCCGTTCGTAGCGATGCCAGGAGCCCCGAACGTAGTAGCGTCTTTCTTTGCTCCTAGTAGGTATGAGTGAGGCGTTTTGGGGTTGGGAGTGGTCCATTCTTTCGCGAATGGCACTGGTTCTTTAGTTTGATGCGGATAGAATACGTTCCAAAGAGATTCATGGAATTCTATGAATCAACGTTCACTCCAGTGCAAGTGTCAACAAGAATACCCTTCAAACCTGCCCGAACTCCAACCTAGCCTTCTTGGGTCATCGGTGACCTACTCCCAAAGAAATCCAAGCATGTCTTCAAAGACTATAATGATGTGGGCAAAGTCATTAATCACACGAAACAATTCAGGGCACCGTGGACCAACAACAGGCGGCTTACTCTGGGGTGAGACCACGAGGAGGTTTGGATCGACATTTGAACAACAATGAGAGGACTGTTCCACATATTCAAGGAAGGCTCCTCAGTGTGCCTCATAATGGATTTTGGTCTCAATTCACTCTAACAGGTGGCTCCCCCCAAAACACACCGATTCCTGATCACCATCATCCACCAAACGTTCCACAGGGTTCCATCATGTTTCTCTACCGATGCACCGATCTTCCATCGAACCGATGCACCGATGCGCCGCTCAGGTGACGGCCGTGGGCTTAGTAGATTCAGCTGCAGAGGCCCGCCTTCCGGATCCCTTCCGGGAGGTCCACCTCGGCGGCCCGTGGATTCCAGCGCCCACCAACGGCTGTACTTCCTGGGGATGGGAAGGACGGACGACGATGAAAAGCGGACGGACGGCAATAAAAACAGATCAAAGGATGAAGCAGAATAGCTCAACAATATAGTATGTAGATCTAAGATCTACTCGCACTTTTGGGTTTTTCGAAGGTTTTTTGTTTCGAGTTCCATAATCCCAACAATGAAGAGTCGCGGTCGAGAGTGATGAGCGATGACAGATGATTGAGCAAGAAGTATAGTATGCTGATGAAGACACGGGCTTGTGAGTTCCGCTCTTGCTGCTGCTCTCTCAATATATGATATCTTGGGCACAAGATCCAAGACAGCCCCCAAAAGAGCATCTATCCCATCCCTCTCCACCGTCCCATCCATCCGTTCGATGAAGACGGACCAACCCGCGATCGGCCGCCAGGAGAATACTGGGTGAAGGGTCATCTCTTCTTGGCTGTGAAGATTCGCCCCACCTCCACCGTCTTCGAGTGGAACCCCGAAATGGTGGCCCGAGAGCCTTGGATGGAGCAGTGCAAGGACCGGACGGAGGGATTTAGGAAGTTCGTCAACCAATGCCGTGGCGTCCCCATGACGGTGAAAGATCAGCAAATTCCTTGTGATACACCCTGCAACAGAGGTGCTGCGTTGTGCTATGTTCAAAGCTCTCTTCTTTGCCAGCCTGGTACTATGCTCCAGATGCTCTCTCCTTGCCTTGTACAAGGCTAGTATGCATAGTTACAAGGCTCTCTTCTTTGCCAGCCTCGTACTGGCCGCTTAGGCCAAGCGGTCGAAGAAGGACAACAAGCTCCGAGATTGGTGGGTGATGGAAGGACTGTGCGAAACGAAACCGATGCGAACCCGGGTGAATTGGTGGTGTGGGTTGGTGCTTGGGTGCTTGACGTGAACCCTGGGCACTGGTCCGAGCGGAAAGTGGAAAGCGGTTGGGAAGGGGTTCCAAGGGATAACGGATAAAGTCGAGTTCCGCAACTGCGCAGGATTCCGCAACTAGGATTCTGCAACTATTTGGTCGGATTCCGCAACTAGGATTCAACTAGGATTCCGCAACTGTTTGGTCGGATTCTGCAACTGGAATTCCGCAAGTAGGATTCTGAAACTAGGATTCCGCAACTGGGATTCCGCAACTAAGATTCCGCAACTAGAATTCCGAAACTAGGATTCCACAACTGTCAGGATTCCGCAACTAGGATTCCGCAACTAGGATTC